AGGAATGTTGTCTAAAGACATGGCTGCTTCCCACTTGATTGCAGGCCTCCAGACCCACAGATGAGAACATTGACCCTCAGGCAGAAAGTGAAATATTAGCCAATTGGGCCTCCCCTTTCTTCTGTTCTACCTGTGGTCTCAGCTCCGCCCACTAAGATATCCCTCTGAATTTTGCCATCGTCTTCATCCAAGGCCAGCCAGCGGTTAAGAGGGAAATCATATTTTCTTTTATTCCCAATATCTTCAATGACAATCTGGGAAGGAGAAGAGAGGAAAGGAAGGTTAAGTGTCATTGAGGTCACACCTGGTGACCGAATCCATTCCTCCATCACTTGAGTGAACTCCAAGTATACTTTCTCATCTTCCTCGTGGCCCAAGGAAAGCTTATCACAAGGACACACCTGTTGTCAAGAAAACCTTGCAAAGCACTGAGAGTCAAACAGGGATGACTGACAATTAACTCCTTGAATTACTGAGTCTTGCTCCCTCCTCTGCTAAGGATCATTAAAAAAATGCTATGCAAGAAACTTGGCAGAATGGACCCTGTGAGACTGAGGTGCTAGAACTGGAAGCCTGGATTTACAGACAGCATCAAGACCACCATCTTCCTCACCTGCTGAAGGTTGGGATTCTGACCTTCTTGCTGAGAAGCAGAGTCCACACAAAGGGAACTACAAGCCCTGAATCTGGCACACAGAATCCCAGTATCTGGTGACCAGGTTGGAAAAGGTCAGCCACTGACAGTGAAGTTGGAACTGAGCATCCATGAAGCCCCCACGGGGACTCACATGTGAGCTATGTTGGCGAGGCTGAGATAAATGTGTTTTCTAGAGCTCACCAAGGAGCTGAGGGGCCCTCCTAAAATGTCCCAGGAACATCCAACTGAAAACTCACTCTAAGATAAGTGTGATCGTCAATAACCAGACCAAGTCCTCCAGTCATAATGGGAAGGCAGATGCATCTGGTGACAGACAGGGTGAGTTGGAAAGTAAAAATATCTGCCCAGGTACTCCCAGGACTGCCTGACAGAGTGGGGCTCCGATTTTCAGTGAAAGACTCACTTCCTAAGATCAAAGTGTCTGTAGTGTGGAAACAGGGCATGTCTTGGTCTTCCTAAAGGCATCTCACCTTGTTCTAATGCAATGTTCATCAAGGAATCTTCTGGGCTGAGAGCTGAACTCCTGAGTATACCACCCACCAGAGAGGGGTCAGTGGCCTGAGCCAGTGGCCAGGACCAGCCGTCCCGCCAGCGTTCTCTCTCCAGATACATCAGCATTCAATCTCTGGTTTATAAATCAGTCCCTTGTAAGTTTGGTTGGTGTGAGTCAGCCTTCAGAGCTGGCTGTTTTTTATCGAGTGTCTGTACTTTCAGAGCTGAGTGCCTGGAGACCTCTGTGGCCTGTCCAGAAGGGGTTCTGTCTTGAAAGGAAGTCCAGCCTCTCCCAATTCACGTATCTGCACATTTCTCTATGTCTTTCCTCTCCCAGGGTTGAGGCTGTGGGGAGATTGGGGAGCCAAGGATCTGGGCTATACCTCCTGACCCCCTTTACGCTGACCCTCACAGGGTTGGAAAAGCAAGGTGAAGAAAGAAAAGACTTAGGGCTTCCCTGGTGGCGCAGTGGTTGAGAGTCTGCCTGCCGATGCAGGGGACACGGGTTCGTGCCCCGGTCCGAGAAGATCCCACATGCCGCGGAGCGGCTGGGCCCGTGAGCCATGGCCGCTGAGCCTGCGCGTCCGGAGCCTGTGCTCCGCAACGGGAGAGGCCACAACAGTGAGAGGCCCGCGTACCGCAAAAAAAAAAAAAAAAAGAAAAGACTTAGTTTATCAGATAAGCTGTCAAGTCTACTAATTGACAGATATACAGATTCACCATTTCTGTCTTTAAATGTTCACAGACTGGTGTGCCAGCCATAATTCCAAGAGCAAATGACAAACCACCCTCACAGTTCACAAAGATGTCATCAATAAAAGGCCTTCTCCTGGCCTGATAGCTGATGGACATTCCTGGCTTGAGAAGTTCATCTAATCTGAAAAATAGAATGCGTTGCCATTAAATAACTCTGTAGGACTAAACTAGCTTGCACAGCTGAACCACAAAGGGAAGAGAAAATATATGAATGAATATTTGAATAACCAACAAGATTCTAAAAATTAGACATTCCGAAATACCAAATCACAAAGAAAGGCTGAGACATAAACACTTAAGCACTGATATAAAAAGTATAAAAGTCCAGGAACAGTTCTGGGAATTTTCCAAATGAGTATTGAAATATATAAACAATTACTGATGACATCTGTTAGTCCCAAGGTCTGCAGGATGAGGCTGGAGGAAGCTGGCTCCCAGAGGGTGGAACATTTTGGAACACATCTAGTAGCAAATGGTGAGTGCTATAGGAAGGAGCAGAGAGGTGAGATGTGGAAGGAGCCTACGTCGGCACAGGAAGATTGTCCAGGGGGACGTGGCAGAGGACTCTCCCAAAGGCATTCTGGCCTCTGCAGATATGGGTCCTGTTGCTTGGGACCCATGACCCCTGTTGCTTAAAGGATATTAGTAAGGGCCCCTCTGTGGGAGAATAAGCAGCTTTTCCACTTGTGTTCACAAGTTGCCCAGACATCCCTGAGTTTTCATAAAGTTCCTTTTAAGAATTCAAGACAGCTCAGGAATGGTTTTTGCTAACAGAATGAAATGGTGGTGCTCCCTTCAGACCACAGTTTCACAGTCTGTTGTTCTGGCAGAGACAACTGTAAAATAAGACTGGAAAGACAGAGTGGCCTTTATCATGAATGATAGAAGCACACACCTGGAGTGTGTGTGTGAGAGACAGACAGACAGACAGAAGCAATAACCTAATGGAAGATAAGAGCTGTTATCTCCTGGAGGAATATTCTCACCTGCAGACAAGCCTATAGGCTGGGCTGACCTTCTAAGAGGGAAACCAGGGCACATGAGCCCTTGGGAGGCGAGATGGCAGCCAGACAAGGGGGCCTGTCCACGGTGGAGCCCGCTCTGTCCTGCAGCAACAGGGACACAGCAGTTACGAGGCGAGACCACCGTTACGAAAAGCCAAGGATAAACCAACCGCGAAAAAGAGGAGGAAAAGATGAAGCTGCCAAGCAGGGGTTCTTTCTTTCTGGTTCTCTCCAGATGGTTCACAGACACATCCAAACAGTCCAGGACACGGGAGCCTGCATTTCCTCCCGCACAGGGTAAACATGTCTGTGTGAGCACATGGGGTTTGACTTGGAGTCGATACCTTGCAGATCAGTGTAGAGAGTCAACCATGACTCACAGCAGCTCTCCCTCCTCCATATGGGAATAATTTCCACCAACTTTCCATAACCTGATTGGAGCGGAGACCCATTCTGGGCAGAAGAAACAAACCCCACACACATAGGGCAATCTGGAGAAGCTGAAGGGTCTCCTCCTTCCCGCCCACGTGCCGAGGTGCCTGAGATGCAGACAGTCTGGGTGATCCACAGTGTTCCCTCTCTGTATCAGCCACGGGGCAGGAAATGAATGTAAGACCTCTCCCTGTTTCCAATCATCCCTTTGAACATGCATATCTGTTATCCAGTAAAGGTGGCCCTTGCTTGACTCATAAGCAGTCATCGCCACATTCCAGGAACCACTATTGAACTGTGGTTTACATTTGGAGTTCTTAGATCATAGGGCAAGGGACAGATAGGTTTTGACACAGGAGAAGATAAAAGAGGAAGACTTTGGAGTTTACAAACCTACTTGGAAAAAAATCTTGGCATCCAGGGCTTAGCAGGGGAGACCTGGTGTCATGGAAGAACAAGGGAATGTTCTATGGGGGGAACAAAGCTCAGCGAAGGAAGGGGGGTCAGTGTCCTCCTCCTTCCCCACACGCCCTGCACCTCGCTCATCACACTGCAATACTGTGTCAATTACTGCGTAACATACCACAAATATGAGTAATGGTAAATGACAGCATTTGAATGGTGACACCCCCAATGCTCTCTCCCTTTCCTCTACACTTCATCCCTCCCCGCTGAGCCCGCCCACACACCCACTCCTTCATTACTGCCTCGGCTGCCTCATTCAATAAAGACCTTTGATGGCTTATTCTGATCAGCGCCTGTGGTGGTCCTGCCCTCACCTTCTCCCTGACATTATTTCTCAGTTCTCTGAGCCCTGTGCCCTGGTCCAGTTATTTAGTATCCCTGTGCCACCTTCCAGCTGCCCCTCATCTGTCATCCCCTCTGCCCAAAGGAGTCCTCCCCCCTGCTCCCCCTGAAAAAGCCTGCCCATCTTCATGGCCCAGCTCCAACGGACCCTCCCTGAAGCCTTCTCTGTTGCCCAATCAGGCACAACTCACCCAACATTTTTTTTGTACCTCACGTAAGACTCATCTCATCCTCCTTCGCATTAAAGTTGGGGTGATTCTGTTTTCTGATTTTCAAACTGGGAAATTTGGTTTGATCAGCACATGTGGGACACTTAGGACAGAATGTTTGTTCACTGAAAGCTGGACTTTCCCTGCAGTTTTGGAATATAAGGTTAAAGTAAGTAACCTGCTTTATAGTAAGGAAGTATTCAGGAACTCATCTTGTCTCTTTTAGAAGCAGAACCATGTTCACTGCAACAGCTGCAGTTGGTAGCTCAGGGCCTAGGATATAATAATAAATCAGTAAATGTTTGTTGAATGTTGAGTATCAATTGGTGACATGAGGCCATGTTGGGCTACCTGAGGTCCCTGAAATCTGTTCATTAGCCTCTGTCTCCTCTTCCTGTTAGAGCCAGTGGTACTGGTTGAACTTACTCTCCCTAAGGCATGTGGCAGGTGATCCACCCAATTCTGGATTTTCTAATGCATGGCACAGTGGAGAGAGTCCAGACTCAGAGTCCAGAGGGCCTGGGGCAGGTGCCAGTACTGCCACTGAAGAGCTGTGGGGCCTCAAGCAAGTCCTCTACTGAAGCAGATGGGCCAAGGACAAGGCCCACTGGCAACTTAATGTTCCATCCTGTGACTCTTGCTCTTTTGTGGTGGTCATTGAGCTGAACTGATCAGTTGAGTCAGTCACGATTGTTGGACTAAGCAGACACGGGGACCCAAGCCATGTGCAAAGCCTGGGGGAGGGAGGATGCCAGCCCCGGAGAGGGGATAAAGAACAGGGGGCTGAGGAACACACACGGGCAATTGACTACGGGAGAAGAGGACGGAGATGACTTATGAAGGGGTTAATAACATTGGCTTTCAGCTTTATCCCACCAAGCCCTCACACATAAACACCAAAGGAGCAGTTGTCATGTGATGTCCAAGGCAACCAACCGGGCAACTTCGAAATGGGAGGACGTGCTGTGCAAGTGTCAAATTTGGAAACGCAGACAACTTAACAGCATTTTAATTGGCGTCTCTGTGGAGGTTAGATGAGGAGGGGGCAGCATGGAGACCCAGTCAAGAGGGAAGGCAGGAGGTTAGGGCTGGCTATGCATTGTGTAGTCACAAAGTGATGAGAGGTGGCCCAGGGTTTCCTCTAGCCTCTGGTTTTCAGCTTGAGCCCACCCTACCTGGGACCTAAAACCCTCCTTCCTCCTCTCTCATCATAATTCTTCCTTCAGGAAAATATCTAGTAAATCCAGGTGTTCTGACCTGCAAAATTCTTGAATTGTTTTTATGTCTTATCCCCAAGGAGCATTTTGGTTTGGCTTACATTAAAGGAACAGACTGTTAGGAGCTCTTCAGAAGCCAGTGAACCTTTGGAGGGACACCCACCTTGGCACTCGGGGGACAGGTGTGGACCTGACAACCAGGCCCTGAACTTGCCCCTACACATAATACTGGCTCCAAAGAGAATAACCAATCTCACACTGAAAGTAGCCTGCTTGGGCTTCTGGTTTAAAATAGTGTCTGACTAGTAACCAGTAAGAAGAGGAAAAAAAGAAAAGGAAGGCGGGAGAGGGAGGGAGGAGGGAGGGAGGAAGGAAACATCATTCTGAGGAATCAGAAGAAGAGCAGAACTCTGGAAAGGACTGGATAAAGGATACAGAAAAAGAATTCAAGAAACGGGTATGCGTAATAGAATATAAGAAGATATGGTCTTTATGAACAGGAGTAAACATCTTTAAATAGAAAGGGCTGCATGAAAAGGCAATAAAATGATATGAAAAGAGAGCTGGATTACATGAGAAAGGTATCCAGGAAAGCAATACTATACAGCAGCAAATACATCAAAGTTCTTACAATTCTGCATGCCCTTTAACCATCTCCTAGGAATTAATTGTAGGAAATAATCATAGATGTGTATAAAGATAAGCTACAAGAATGTTTGTTGCAGCACAATTCATAGTATCAATAATTTTGAGAAAAAAATTGAAATGTTCAACAAAGGGGAATTGGTTTAATAATTCATGGTATATCTGGGCAATGAAATATTATAGGCATTAAAAATTACATTGTGAAATATCAATGTTATTCTATTTCAATAGCATGGGGAAACAGGCATGTTACACTTGAAAGTAAAAACAAAGCAGTTTGTAAAATATTGTGCTTATTATGAACCCATTATTAAAAATGACATATGTGTATTCATTCACAGAAAAATGCCTGGAGGATATGTAATTTCTGGGTGGTGAAATTATGGTGGTTCAGATTATCTTATTTTTGCTTACTTGTATTTCCTAAACTTTTTACAATAAATATATATTACTTTTGTGAGAAGAAAAAAATAATTAGAAGAAACATTCAGAATTAAAATGCATATTAATAGGAGAAAGAAATGCAACTGGTAGTGTGAAAAATCAAATCAATAATGAGGTGGGGGAGAATTTGACAAGTTCCTATGGAATGCAAAGAAAATAGACGTGAAAGGAATAAAAGGGAAGCTGAGATCTTTGGAAGACAGAGAGCGGAGATGCAATAAATGGATAACCGGTGCTCCTGAAGAAGAGACCCAAAAAAAGCCATTCAAGCAAGAATCTAGTGTATAATAGGAAATCTTTTTTCTGAGCTATAAACAAACAAATAATCCTAGGCATCATGGAAAAGATTCAACTTGTTCCAGAGAAGTTAAAAACAAGGGAGGGAAGGAAGGAAGGAAGGAAGGAAGGAAGGAAGGAAGGAAGGAAGGAAGGAAGGAAGGAGGGAGGGAGGGAGGGAAGGAAAGGAGGGAGGGAGGGATGGAGGAAGGGAGGAAGGGTGGAAATAGGAGAGGAGGGGAGAGGAGGGAAGATGAATGAACTAACAAAGACCCTACTCCTAGACATTATCTGGCAAGACTTAAATTATAAATAAAAAGAAAAAAATCCCATAAGCATCCTGGATGAAAAACCACAAAACAGTTTGTCCAGAAAGAAATAAGTCTGCTTGGCTTTGATGTCAAATTTCAGAAGGTAACAGAACAAGATTTATAATGTTTTAAAGGAAAAAAGTGTTCTCACCCATATATTTCACATCTTGCCAAGCTGCCCTGTCCTTTGAGCAGGAAGATGACAAAAGGACCTGTTTCGGTGTGCAAATCTGTCTCTTTCACATAGCTTCCGAGAGCATAGGGGGTGAGGGCCCAGGTGACTAAGAAGGAAGCTGCCTTCAAAAAGTACAGCTGCAACGACTACATCAAGGCCTCCCTCAGGCCCTTGGGTGCACTTTGCAGCTCCTTCCACTACACCTGTGTTTTCATTCAGTCTTCCCTCCCAGGATGAAGGAACTGGGCTTCAAGGTACCTGCTCTGTGCCCCATCCTGGCTGAGGTCCTAAAACACACCTGCCTCCTCTCCCTTATCTGCCCTGAAGACACACCTCTGCCCACACATTGGCTCTTTGGGACCTGGACTCCTGCCTCATTTCTTCTCCAATCCAAGCAGCAGTTCCACTTAGCCTCCTGGAACCCTATTCAGAATTAGGCTGGCTGCTCTTAGGGCCAGGCCAGCCCCCTCTTTCCAAAGGACACTTGGCCATTCCTTGCTTCACTGATTCAGCACCTTGTCCCAGGCCAAGAGCTGGGAGATGCCCTCAAGGAACTTGGAGGCTAGTTATGGAGAGACGTGTGGCAGACACTCAAGGATGCTTACTCAACACCCTTTCCAATCACCTTCTTAGCCTACTTCTACTATGAGGGCTGGAAAGCCTACTTGAAATCCCAGTTTCTAACGTAGCTAGGGTGGCCACGTGACACAGGCAAAAGCTCCAAGGAGAGTTTTGTTTCTCTCAAAATAAAGCAAGACTTGCCAGAAAAATGTCTTTCCCCTTTGGTCTTCTCTTTTCTTCCTGCCTAGAACACAGATAAGATGCAGAGAGGTTCAGCAGCCACCACGTGATCATGAGACAACAAGCTGGAGGATGAAAGCCACAAGGCTGAGGATGGTGACATAGCGAGAGACCAGGTGTCTCAGAAAGCAGCTGCACCAGCCCTGAGCTGACCATATCTGTATCTCATGTGAGATGAGAAAAATAAGCCCCTGATTGGTTAACATTGCACTTCAATTTTCTGATACTTGCAGCCAAATATGTTCCTAACTGACACAAGATGATAAATTAAGGAATAACAAAACCTCAACTATCAGACAGCTTCATTCTAAATAGTCAAATTATTATAATCCGAGGGTTTTCTGTTTTTAGGCCATAAGACCTTTTCAAAATATTTTCCAAAATATGTTACACATCAATCTTTTCCTATCATTCTCTGATGAGCTGAAATAGATGGAGAGCTCGTGACTAAGGAAAATACATAGTCCATTTTCTAAATGACCTCAGACTTCCATAATTTTTCAATATTCTTTTGGATTTTTATATCTTCTCTGACTCCCCATTACAGTTCTCAATAACCCTACCAATTACAGTGTCTCTTTTTCCTTCTAATTTTCTGCTATAGGTTTAAAGTTACAGGTAGCAAGTTTGCTAGAAGGGATTATAAGCAAGCACTGAGTGAGAATCTGAGGGGTCTTGCCTTCACAATCAGGGCAGGGCAAGGTAATGCCAGGGACATGAGCTCTCCTCATGAACTTTGAGCCAGATATGTCTTAGCTTCTCAGAAGCCTTTTTGCTTTCTTCTTGATTCTTCACTTAGTCCTGGGTAGGTGAAATTATGAGGACCTGAGATCCAGAAGTTTGAGGTACAAAGCAACAGGCCAAGATAAGTCACAATGTAGCTTATGATTAACGTGAAATGAACGCTACAAGCCCGCGGGGTTATAGACATTCATGGGAGGGAGAGGTTCTGGTGGCCAGAGGGGAAACACTTCATGGCAGAGCCCTGAAGGATGATCAGACCCTGGCTGGGTTCAGATGACAGAAGTGGTCCTTCTAGGAAGGTGATAACACAAGCAAAGCCTTGGAGGCTACTGGGAGGGCAGCATGGTTGGCCAGTGGACTTAGGCAGAAGAGTGGAGACAGATCTAAAGAGGGAAGTTAGGGCTGAAATATAACTTCTGAAGAGCCAGAATTCCTGCCTCCCAGGCCAAGGGACCACAGACAGTCAGCTGAACCCACCTTTGACAGGAACCAGCCTGCAGACACCCCCTTGTTATTGTGGCCAACATTGATCTTCATGAGCTGCCCTAGATCCGGGGCATCCACTGTGAACTTGTCTTCTGCTCCCTTTTCAAAGTTGTCCTTTTCATTCTCCAGCCTACGCTCACCTGTATGCACAGACACATGAGAAAGTTACAAAGGAGACCAGAGGACGAGAGAGAAACAGCTCCAGACTTTAATGGGCTGCCCACGGAAGGATGGTTTCAAAAGTCACCACGGTGCGAGGTGGTGGGTTGTGACAGGCGGTATGTGGACACTCTCTGTACTTCCACTCGATTCTGCTGTGAACCTAAAACTGCTCTAAAAAATAAAGTTTATTAATTTTTAAAAAAAGGGCAGCTTCACCCCCAAGATCTACAGGCTCCTTAAATCCCTCCAGCCACCAGTCAAGGCCAAGGCTTGCCTTGTGTGTGGCTTGTGCCCAGGACCCACAACTGGGCTTCTGATTTCTGCCTTAGCCCAGAGTCCCCACCCTAGTAAACTGATTTGCTCCCCCATCCCTGGACCTGAGGCCCTGCCTTGTTTACCGGCTGCTGGTCCTGAACCAGGAACACAACCATGGTCGTTGGTCTAGGGGCTGTGGCTGGGACCCTGACATCAGCCAGCAGGCTTCCTTAGGCCTGACTCCTCTGGAAAACAGTGGTGATAAGTATTATCAGACACTGCTGGGTGTTTAACATGGTTTCTTCCCTCACTTATTCCACGGCACAATCTAGGAGGGAAGTATTATCAACTCTGTTTTGCAGATGAAGAAACTGAGACTTGGAGAAGTTAAACAACTGGCCAAAAGTCACACAGGTATTGAGCACATAGTTAGGACTTGATCTAACCTGTTCCTTCTACTTTTCAGTTTTCCATTATTACCCTCCGAGGTCTACCAGTCACCCTTACAACCCCACCTAAGCACCAGGCTTTGCTTATGCTATTCTGTTTTCTTTCTTTTCCAAAATTTGATTCTTCAAATTTTTCTAAATTTTAAATGGCCACAACTCAAACATATAGATAATAATAATAGTCATCCATGTACCCACCACCCAGATGTAAGAGGTATAACAGATATTAACATTTTGTGTAATTAACTTAGGCCTTTCTCTTTTTTAAAGGAAATTAAACATGACAGGTAGGTCTAAAGTCTCATGGTCCATCCCTTCCCCTGCCACACCCTCCCACAAACAAACACTATAGTCAACTGGTATCCATTGTTCCCATGAAGTTTTGCTTGCACATGTATGTATCCATAAAGAAAATATATTATTTTTGAATGTTTTAGAATTTTACAGAAATAACATCATAGTGCACATTGCTCTGTCTTAAGATAAGTTCCTTGTCTATACAATAGGGATGATAAGGGCTCCACCTCATTGAGGCTGCTGTGAGAATTAACTGAATGGATGTGTGCAAAGCCCTTAGGGCAGCGCCTGGAGATGGTAGGTGCTGTATAAGGGGTGGGCCGTTGCTATTGCTCCTGTTACCATCGTCCTATCATCACACACCCTTGTGCAACTTACTTTTTTTTAAGTTAATATCATGCTTTTGAGATTATTCTGTTGATGCTAGTAACAGAATTCCTCCAACTTCTGTATAATAGTCATTGAATGAAGAAAACACTATTATGTGTTCATTCTTTCACCGATGTACATTTGATTGTTTCTAGTTGATTGCTATCGTAAATAGCACTGAATTGGACTCTCTTGTACTTACCTTCTGCTGCCCATTTGTAAGAACTGATCTGAATAGACACCTATAGAGTTGCTGGGTCCTGAGGTGTATTCATCTTCAATGTATTAGGTGTTGCAAAATTACCTTCCAAAATGGCTGTACTACATCAATTATCACCAGCAGTGCATGAGGGTTCCCATTCCCCATAATCATTATTAACACATATATTTAAAATTTTGTTTCAGTGTGTGTACAATGGTGTCTAATTATGGTTTTAATTTGCATTCCCTTGATTATTTGAAAAGGTTAAAAGATTATTTGGAAAGACATTCATATATATATTCAATACATACATTTGAGAGATTGGTTCATATATATATTGGCCATTTAGACCTTGCTCTTCCATAATTTTCCTGTTCATGTACTTTATCATATTTTTCTATTGTCTTTCCTTTGTCTATGGCTTTTAGCATATAGACATTTTTCTTGTTTTAATGGACTTTATCAATATTTCCCTTTGTTGTTTGTGCTTTTAGTGAATTGTTCAAGAAACTCTATCCTAAATTGAGATTTTTAAAAAGACACTCAAAGTTTCTTCTAAAAATTTCATAGTTTGCTTTTTCACATTTAAGTCTCTAGCCCATTTGGAACCTATTTTTGTGTATGATGAAAGGTAAAAAGATCTACTTTTATCTTTTCTCGAATGGTTAGACAATTGTTTAAACATCAGTAACTGAATATTTCATCCTCTTCCCTCTGATTTATACCACTTTCTGTGTGTTTCTAGACTCTTTATTCTATTCATTTATTTGTTTACCCTTCTATCCATATCTCACTGTTTTAGTTTTTAGAGATCTGAATGTTTTAATATTTGGCAGGGTAAATATCCTCATATTATTAATATTGTCAATATTATTTTCATTATTCAAAGTTATCTTGGCAATACTTAGCCCTTTGTGGACATGAATTTTAATAGCAGCTTAAGCTGTGGGATATTGCCTTTTGGGAATTTGACTGAAACTGCATTGAATTTATAGAATAATCTGAGAAATTTGGATATGTTACTGAACTTAAGTCTTTTCTCATCCATGAACATAATATATTTCTCCATATATTTAGTTATTCTTGTGTATTCTTAAGTAGAAATCTTTATTTTTTTCCAGAATGTGCTTTTGCTAGTTTTTCTTAGACATATAATTGCTATTGTAAATCATATATTTTTAAATTAAATATTTGCTTGCTGTTTATGTTAATATTTGTGTATTAATCTTGTATCCAACACCTTTATTAAACTTTCTCATTGGTTCTAATGATTTTTAAGTTCTAATGATTTTATAGATGATCATTAGTTTTAATGAAAATTAAGTTTTATTTCTAAATGGGGCCAGAGGTTGAAGTTTCTTCTAATTTTACTGACTTGTGATCAAAGAATGTTGTCTCTATGTTATTGATTCACTTGCATTTGTCATTATGCACTTGAAAAGAATGTGTATTCTCTACCAGTTGGATTTAGGAAACTACATACTTCCATTAGATCAAGGCTATTAACTGTGTTGTTAAAATCTGCACCCATACTAAATTTTTAGCCATTTGACTTATCAGTTACTGAGAGTGTTGTATTAAAATCTTCCACTATGATTATGTACTTGTCAAGTTTCTCCAAGAATTTTATTATTTTTTGCTTCACATATTTTGAAAATATGTTGTTAAAACTGTGCAAGTTCAGAATTATCATATTTTCCAGGTTAATTGCTCTTTTTGTCACTGTATAATATACTTATTTCTAATGAAGTGTTTTGTCTAATGAAGTGTTTTAATTTGATGGATATTAATATAGCAGCATCAGCTTCTTTCTTGTGGTTGATATGTTCCTGGTATACTTTATTCCATTGTATATATTCTCAGACATTTATGTATCATATATTTAAGCTGGATTTTACTTATTTTAATTTAATATGAGAATATCTATTCTTTAATTGATGAGTTTAGTTTATTTCTATTTATTGTATTATTGACACACTTATCTTACTTTTTGCTAGTAGCCATGCTTTTTTTTTCTTCATTTCCTGACTTCTATTTGGTCGATTGAGTCTTTATTCCCTTTTATTCCCTCCATTGGTTTAGAAATTGTACATTTCTATTTGGGGGTGGTTACTTTTACAATTTTAATATGCATACTTGATGTATTAAAGTCTAAAGTTAATCAACTTCTCTGCTCTCCTAGGGTAGGGGAATGGGCTACAACCAAGTTATGTTTTAACTCTCATTATCTCCTTTCTTTCTCAAAGATCACTATCTTTTAGTGTTTAGGGGCCACATTTTCTCAGGTCTTGATAATAATTATTAGTATCATTTTGTATAGTCAATGCTTGCTTAAATTTGTTATATAATTATCATTTTGGGGGCTCACCTTTGTTTCTTGCATCTCACACTTTTCTTCTGGGTACAATTTTCTTTTTCTTAAAGTATATCCTTCAGTGGTTATTTAAGCGTGGGTCTATGAGTGAGTGGTCAGTCCTATTTCTCTTTGTTTGCTTGGAAATCCATTAATTTTGCCCTCACTCTGGAATGATAACCTAGTTGAGTACAGAATTGTAGGTTGATATATGTCCTTGCCCAGAAGATTGAAGTTTGGGGTTTTTTTGTTTGTTTTTTGTTTTGTTTTTGCTTTTTTTTTTTTTTTTTTTTTTTTGGCTGTGCCACACAGCTTATGGGATCGTAGTTCCACGACCACTGGACCACCAGGGAATTCCCAGAAGATTGAAGATATTATTCCATAAACTTATATCCTCTATAGCTTGCTGATAGGAATTTGCTATCAATCTAATTGCGTTTATAGAAAATAATCCACCAAATCTGGTTACTTTTAAGATCTTTCTCTTGCCCTTTGGCTTCACTACAATGAATCTAAATGTGGATCTGTTTTTATTTATCATGTTCAGTGTCTTTTGTTACTTTAATCTGAAGAGTCATATCTTTGCTTAATTCTGAAAAAACGTGATCAGCCATTATCTATTCAAATATTTCCTCTCACCCATTCTGTATATTCTGTTTCTGAAACTCCTATTCAACATGTCAGAACTTATTCTCTCTTCCACATCTCATGATCTCTCACTGATATTTTCCAACCCTTTATGTCTCTGCCACATCTGCATATTTTGTTTACATTTCTCTTACAGTTAAATAATTCTCTATTCAACAGTTTCTAATTGTGTTGTTTAACCCATCCATTAAGTGTTTATATTTAGTAACTATATTTTCATTTACTGTATTTTTCATAGTGCCTTGTTGTTTTCCTTAACTGTTTCTTTCATGTCTATAGACAGTTTAAACATACTTAAGTTATAGCCTTTCTCAGATTACTCTATTACCTGAAATTCTGGAGAACTTAATCTTATTGTCTGTTGTGTCTATTGATGGTTAGTCATGGTGGATTGTGTCCTTGAGTGTTTTGTAGTTTTGGAAAGTGAACTCATCTCCAGTACTTTATCTGTGGGAATCTCATGAAGTCTTGCAAGTGCTTCTGCCAAGCACCGAAGGGTATTACTGGCATGGAATGAATTTTCTGTACCTGAGGGGGAGGGTTCCCAAATCACACTTGTAGTGTAAAATCAGACCTCAAGCCCACATGTGTATAAGCTTAAGATATCAATTTCCCATCAACTGTCTTTTTAATCTAGAGTTCTTACGGAGATAAGTTTACTATACTGATGAGCAATTTTTTTCCTAGTCTATTTTTTCACTGAAGATGTTCCTGTGAACTTCAGGGATCCTGGCTTTATGTGTAGTTCTAATTTTTTGCATATTTTGCCTCATACAGAGCCAAAATATCATTTTCTGACCCCAAATGTGTATGGAAATCCATCCTGTAGATTGTTGAACATAAAGGGTCCCTGATTCCAAGATCCACAGCATCAATTCATAGCTGATACTTTAGTAAGTTCTCTCCTCATTTCTGACACCTGGAGATTTCTCTTTTTTCTTAAAATCCCAGCAATGCATTTTTATTATTTAATATACTGTGTCCAAAATTCATGTCTTTGTAGCTTTCTGACTCCTATAGTATTCCCTTAAATTGGCAGAAGCAGGACAAGACCACCTGTCTCAGTTCTGCTGGCCTGAACTTCCTTCCAACACTGGCAGCTGTGTCTGTGCCCTCAGTTCCTGCTCCACCTATGAGGCCAAGTGTAAGTCTATCCCCTGGCCCCATCCTTGTCTGCCCAAAATCATGCAATGAATCAGGCCATGCCCAGTCACATCCCAAAATATAATTCAAGATGGGCATGGAGCCTAGGGAGATAGATAGAGAGTAAGTGAGGATGAGTCCCCTGGAGATGTGGAGCCTGGGTCTGTTCTAGGATGCAGGATGATTTTAAGTCGACCAAAAAACCAAGCACAACTTACTCCGAAAACACATCACACACACAAACTTGACAAGATGGACACCATGCTGCCCAAGGAAGGCCATGACAAACCACGTCACAAGAAGAAGAGAGAGGCTCAACAGGAGAGCCTAGAGGAGACTGGAGTTGCCTTCCTCTCCCAGGAGGGTGGAAAACAGCCCACTGAAGAAGTAGTTCTGGGCATGGCTTTTGAAGAAAGGATTTCAAACCCATTACCTGTGTCTCCATACTCTCCAAAGATATTGATGAAGATGTCAGCATCAGTCCCTGCACCTATGACATCACCAGTGTACACCTTGACTTCATACTTGTTACCTGGAGATGAAGACAGAGGAAGTCTCAGCTCATTCAGGTCCTGAGAAGAGAAGAACAGAGGCCAAAGTAGCTACCAACCATCCACCCTTCCCTCCAGCAATGCATGAATTGTCACCATTACTTTCAATAACCAAGCAAGACACAAGTCGCCTGACGTTGGTTCTAAATGGTCATGGCTGAATTGCGTGCAGAGCAGAAGTCAGAGGTAGAGGGGACTTCTGTTTTTATCTACTAACTTGTTGCCTTGGGATGCATGAATCAACCCAAATACAACAAACCCACCACCAGCGTTTCTCCTCTGGATAGTGAAATGACTCCCACTGGGTCCCCAGCCTCTACTCTGTCTTCTCCAATCTGTTCTCTATGCTGCATCACAGTAAAAAAATTCATGGGGAAAATTGATTATGCAAATAAAAATCGAATTTATATGTAAGTTGTCAAGGCCATAACCAATGCAAAGACCAGAGGAACCAATAATAGCTAGCAAATGCATGTTCAGGCATTACCTCATTTAAAGATCTGTATCAGCTTCCTGTACCTTTGCTCCATTTATTGAACAGAAATCCATTCTCTGTAACCCCAAAATGCTTAAGCCTTGGCCATGGCCTCAAGTCAGCGGGTGGTGGAGCTCAAGGTAAACTTGACAACATGTTGAGCCCTGCCCGGGTCTCCCCAACCGGAGCCTACCTTAGGGTGGGGTAGCAAAAGCCAAGGATTGCTATGTGGTGTGAAATGGAGATTCCTCTAGATTTTCTTTGGGTGCCAACAATTCTAAGGGCTGAGGCAACTTTCCCTTCCCTTTCCCCTTCCTACAATAGCTTTCTATTTTTCATGTACCAGAATCTTTTTCTTTTTAGATGTCTTATGCCTAATATATGAAGCTATTAAAAATTAGACCTGTTTTAATTGAGGCCCAAATCAGCGCCCCTCTGCCCACCTCCTCCCTAGAGCCTTCCTTCATGTCCCAGCCCCCACGTGTCTTGCTCCTCTGTGCTCCTTGGCTCTGCCACGTTGTCTGTGTCAATAGTTTCCAAGTTTCACCATCTCCTCCTTGTGCTGTTTGTTGTTTCCGGCAGGTGAGAATTCTATGTTCCTCAAGAACTTAAAAGAGGTCTGGGAGCAGGACTTCCTTCTCTTTTATGGCTTCTCTCACAGCCCCTAGCACAGTGCTGGGCACATATTAGAGTCTCACTGAGTATGTTGAAAAGCTAATTGAATTGAATTTCCTAAATCTCAAAGTCTCATGAAGTTGCTCAGGGCAAAGGACTGAGGTGGGGAGGTGAGAAGAAAACTAATTTCATCCCTTCCCATCTCGAATTCTGTCTAGAGGGCAGTACAGGGCTGCCCTCTAGAGATGACACAGTGCAGAATCTTGCAGGGGACCCACGGAGAACACTCCACCCACACAACCCTGATGGCTGGCCTTTGACCTGCTGAGGACATTGAGCCAAGAAGGAGCAAAGTCTTCTCTTTCTCTCCTCAATCTTTACTTGGTGAAACCCATCCAGGGAGACGGAAGACCCTCCAATCTTTGTCCCCAGATGAAGGCTTCAGTAGGACAGTTGTTCTCAGATTCCCACCCCTTCTTGCTTCACCATTAAGACTCTTCTGAGACGACACGGAGCCAGGGTCTTCAGAAGAGTCCAGACAGGCAAACCCCGGCTCAGTGATTTGAAACTTGGGCCACATTCAGGCTCCCAGGGGAGCTTGTTAACAAGGCAGATTTCCAGATTGCCTTCCAGGGACCCTTCATCTGGGGGTTCATCCAGCGAATACTGTTCTTGATCATCCTCCAAGGTGCACAGGCCTCCTGCAGGAGTTCTTTCCTCCTCTGGCTGGCAGGGCCTCTGAGAGCCACTCACTTTGGTTCAAGTCCTTTCTCAGGTGCAGTCCAGGGCTCACTTCACACAGAGGCAAAACCCCTCTGCAGGGCCGGTGGTGCCAGGGTGGCGTGGGGACTGGGAGAGGCTCTGAAGGCCACTGCTGAGCATCAGTCAGAGGGGCAACAGGACCCCAAAGGGAACTGGGCACAGTGAAGCAGGAGAAAGGATGAGGGGGCTAGGGAATATTTGTGGAAGGAGTAGCAGACACTCTGAATCATTCCAGAAGGCGGAATTTGAATCAGTGGGTTGAATTATAAAGAGGAATATTTTAGCTCACCAAAAGAAGCATTTTCTAGTATGTAGGGCTATCCAACAAAGGACTGGGATGCCCTCGGGGGAAGTGAGTTTCCCAATCCCAGAGACACCTAAGCAGTCACTCTATGCCAAGCACATTGGTGGGGAGCCACCTGTCAGGGATGCTGTGGAGAAAATGGCAGAGGTGAGGGATGTGAGAACACTAAGGGTCCTCTTCAATCTGCAATCCCACAACATTTGACCAGGAAAGGCAGCCTTGCAGACTATGGAGGGAAGCCAGGAGAACAAGGAAGCATCTCAGAGGATGGGAGAGGTACCCAAGTCCCATGAAGACGAGGCCCGGAAAGCAGGAGCCCATGAAGGGCTTTGGGAACACACATCCTCATCCTTGGAAAGACCAGAGGAGCAGAGTACCAGGGCCTAAGTGAGGCAGCAGAGTGATAAGCCAAGGGTCAGGGGCCAATAGGCCAAAGAAAGCTTCTAGGCCTTGCCAGGTGAGGCTATCAGGGGCCCGTGCCTAGGGATCAGGAAGCCAGATGAACAGAATGCAGGAGGAAGTCGATTCTGGAACAAGGCTAGATGTCTTCTAAACTCTGTGGAACTTTCTACAGCAAGATGAGGTGCTGGGTCCCCATGTAGCTGGCTGGCTGGATAGAAGATGACCCTTGATCACACTGAGGAGCCGCCAAGAACTGCCTTTTAAATCTGCTCTTTAAAAGGCCCCATAGGGCTTCCCTGGTTGAGAATCTGCCTGCCAGTGCAGGGGACACGGGTTCGAGCCCTGGTCCGGGAAGATCCCACATGCCACGGAGCAACTAGGCCCATGAGCCACAACTACTGAGCCTGTGTGTCTGGAGCTTGTGCTCCGCAACAAGAGGCCGTGACAGTGAGAGGCCCATGCACTGCGATTAAGAGTGGCACCCGCTCGCCGCAACTAGAGAAAGCCCTCGCACAGAAACGAAGACCCAACACAGCCAAAATAAATTAAATAATTTTAAAAAATAAAGGCCCCATAGACAGACAAAGAAGCTTCTTTTATTACTGTTCTCTCTCCCTTTTCCCATATTTCCTCTTCAGGCAGAACCCCATAATATCTGATTTGCCATTTTCCAAGCAAGCCCTAGGGCCCAGCGCCCATTCTAAGTTGTAATGAAGTGCAAATATTGATGAAAGAATAAAAGCAGGGCTCTGTTCCCTCACCATTGGCAAACGGCCAGCACAGTACAGCAAGGCTTCCTCTCAAGTGTTCACATGAGAGCCCCCCAATTTCCCGTGATCAGAGTTTCAACAAACGCAAACTTGCCTTTCTGGCACAGTGGGTGGTTCGGCCAGGGGGAAAGGGGAAGGGCCAGGAAAAATCCCTGCCCCAGAGGCCAAGGGAGCAAGGCAGTCTGGAGAAAGATGATGAGAAGAAAGGTGGAAAGAAGAGGCCAGGAATGACTCACCTTCCCTGGCAAATAATACTAAACCTTCACACAGGGGTTGCAGTTCACAAGGCACTTGCATGTCCTTGATGGAGCCTGATCCATGCAAGGGCCACGTGAGGAGGGCAGGTACTGTGAACATTCTTACTGACAGACGAGGTACCGGGGCTCAGAGAGCAAGGTGGCTTAGCTGAGGATACACAGCTGCTAAATGTTGCCAGCAGGGCTCAAAGCCATGTCTCTTGTCTCCAAATCCAGGGCTGTTTCCAGAATACCTCATGGGCTCTCATGCTCTTGGCCAGAGGTCAGCAACATTTTTCTGTAAGTGCCAAATAATAAATATTCTAGGGCTTGCAGGCCACTTGGTCTCTGTTGCAACTACTCAGCTCTGGTGCTGTAGCACCAAAGCAGCTGGATACAATCCTACGTAAATACTACATAAATAAATGGGCCCAGCTGGAAAACTGGGCCCAGCCCAGTTTTCTTGGGGAAAAAAAAAGAACGTTTTTTTTTCTAAGAAAACTTTATTTATGGACATGGACACTTGAACTTCACAGAACTTTCCTGTGTCATGGAATATTCTTGTTTTGATTTCTTTTCAACCCTTTAAATATGTAAAAGCCTTTCTAGTCTCATGGTCCACACAAAGACAGGTAGAAGACCGGGTTTGGCCACCCCCTGCCCTGTGTTCTCGTGTGCTCTCAGGCACCGTCCTGTGTGTTTCTGGCAGAGCACTGCAGGCAACTCTGCTCTCTGTGGTCTGGGTGGGAACGGAGCTGCCTGGCGCAGGGGAGTCAGCTGCTGGTTGCAGGATAATCACAGCACAACCTAACCACTAGCTAAGCAGCTCAGGGCTCTGAAGGTGGGGGAACTATTGCCCTTTCTCTGTTGGGGTGGAAGGGGTGAGAAGAAGCGGGTCCTGTGCTCCGTTTTTCCTGCCCTTACAACGTTGTGTGACAAGGCTGAGCCTGGTGTTCCCTTGAGTCCAGTGGAGAAGGGGGTCTGGTCTGGGGTTTTCTGAAGGTGGGGACGATGGCAGGTCCAGTTCTGCAACCTTCGGCGTTATGCCTTTCAGCTCATTGCCTGGTTGTGAATGAGCAAGGAGCAGAGATGGGGAGAGAGGGGAAGGTCAGGCTGGAGGAGGGGCTAACAAGGAGCTCATCCCCCTTCTTGAGTGAGCATGGGAGAAACAGGGACTAGAGATGGCCCACCCCAGCCCTAGAGTTGGCCTGTGGTTTACCCATTTGGCATATTATCTGTTATAAAATTCTCCCTAGAACTGATTTCTCTCTGGCCTTTCAGCAGGGTTACCGTTAGCCCAAATGGTGCCTTTGTGCAAATTAGATAAAGGGATCCCTTCCTCAAGACACGTTACTGCCATCTGTTGGATAATGTCATAATAAATGCATAAATCTACAAGCTCTATGATGTGAAAGCA